CCTCGGTTGACTCTGCTTACAGTTACCGTTATGCCTGTAAAACTTTCCGTACTCTCACCGAATACAGAGCAACGATAATATTAGCAGATGGACTACTCAGAGTACCATCATTGTAGTCAAAGGAAGACACTGGCATGCTTCTTTTTCTAGCTAGTAACTAACAATTTTGGCTGTAGCTAGCTAGCTAATGGTAGCTTTATGAGTTGGTTAAAATTGGTCTCGTGCTGACTTTTTTCAAGTGTCCTGGACAGGTGCTCTGATATAGATGATTTTCTGCAAAAAGACTGAGGCTAACGCTGAATGTCCCACGCAAAATAATGACATTATTGTTGAATATATGGAAACAAAGAAGTGTTCATAAGCTGCAGATAGCTAGTTAGTTAGTAGAAAATAACAACAATGTAAGACCAGAGTGTTATTTAATGATGTTGTGTTCAGAAGCTTAACTTGTAAATTGATTAATAAGACCTTATTGTTTTTATTTTCAATAGTTTTGTTTTACTTTTAACATCACAAGTAAAAATACTTTTTAAATAAATATTTGTTTAATATATAAAGAAGAAAGGTAATTTCCCCATGGGTTTCTGTACAGTCTGACTTTTGCAATGAGAAAAGATCAGAATCTGAATAAAAGTTAAAGACATTTATTTATTGGCTTTACTTTTGCTTAACTTTGCTTAGGGATATGTTCAGCAGATGGCTATTAAACTGATTAACCACGCTAAGGTCTGACTTTGTGACCCATTATCTCTCTGAGAGGAACAGAAGAGTCGGCCCCTTGCTAATGAGCCTGGTATTAACGGCACCATCTGAGGTGAAACAGGAAGCAATGCCAGAGAGCTTTCACACAAACAAGTAGCAGCTATATTAGAAAGCTTATGTTTGCAGGGAATTAAGTTTGTTATTCTGGTGTAGCAATATGAAATGTAAAATGTATGTCCACTTCAGGAAAATGACTGCTCTATCGAAATCAGTCGGAAGTCGCAACGGCTCATTTCAAAATAAACGTGGATTTGCGTAAAAAAATACTTTTTCGGGGTTCGGGTGTTTTGTTTGATTTTAAATAAACAAAGTCTTGGCTTTCAGAATATGAAACTTTTATTTCCAAAATCACACGATAAATACATTTTTGAAGCTTGTAAAGGGAAGATGACAGCTTTCACTCACCACTCTGTTCCGCAGCGCCGCCCCTGTGTCTTCGGTTAATGCGACTGATTTCGATGGAGCAAGTCACATGTGTTTAAGTCACATTTGAATCCCTATTTGGTGTCTCCTTTGCTGTTATCACACACATGGGAATGTGGAACTGCAGCGTAATTGCATTAATCTTCATTGCATTAAATTGTTAACACGTGCAGGCCAATGTTTATTAAACCAACGCTGATGTGCAAAACATAGGGCTGTCAGTCGATTAAAATAGTTAATCGCGATTAATCGCAAATTAATCGCACATTTTTGATCTGTTGTAAATGTACCTTAGAGGAATATTTTTCAAGTTTTTAATACTCTTATCAACATATGAGTTGACAAATATGCTTTATGCAAATGTTTATTATCATTTGAACAATGAGAAATATTCTCATGAATATTAAACACAACAACCTCTGAACATTACAAATATTCGCCTCAATTCAACCTGGCCCCTCTCTCATACAATAATACAATGCAAAGTGTGTGTGTGTGTGTGTGTGTGTGTGTGTGCGTGTGTGTGTGTGCGTGTGTGGGGGTGTGTGTGTGTGTGTGTGTGTGTGTGTGTGTGTGTGTGTGTGTGTGTGTGTGTGTGTGTGTGTGTGTGTGTGTGTGTGTGTGTGTGTGCGTGTGTGTGTGCGTTTCATCATCCGGTTTCTTAATGAAAATATTTGACTTCACTTAATGTTTCTGTCACATTAAAAAATGTTGCTAGTTTTTATTTTCCTAAAGTTAATCAAACGTAAAGATATGTATATAGACAATAAAAAACTAAACGCAGTTACAGTTAACATTGATAATAATTACTAATACAACTAATATAAGCTCCCCTTTATATTATTGTTGTATCTGTAACCCAAATGTCCCGTAGCCTCTCTGAACACCCTGGGACTCTGCGTTGTGTTTGTTATTGGTGATGGGATGTTATGCAGAGGGGCGGAAAACAGGAAACAGTAGATGCATGGATGGAGACGCTGAGTAGTGATTTATTCTTCGAATGGCAGCTCTTCTGACACACCTTTTGCGGATTGAATAAAAACATTAGCGCATTTACATGCTAACCATACAGGTAACCAAATGAAAAGACAAACAAAAGATCTCACTCCCAAACATACACAGCCGGGTAAATAAACATTTAACTAACCCATTAATTAAATAAACGAATGTTTGGACGTTTTTAACGTAACAAAGTGTACAATTATTGCAATTAACATGCTCACCTTTCGTGGAGTGAATTAACATTAGCGTCAAGATGGCCAGAACAACAAGTACGGTGTACAATGTACAAAAAACAACTATTTGCTGCGCAAAGCTACAACTAAGTGGCCTGGTCAAGGCTGCTACCTTACATGTTCTAATACTGTAATATGGCGTCCCAAGCCATTTCCAGACCATAACACCCAGGAAGAACAGTCGAAGTACAAATACCTGTTCAAAGGACAAAAGGAACAACAAATTGCCGGCAACGAGGGCTCAAAGCAAACCTATTAGACGCTTGACACGGTCGCTTCACACTGACCGTAGCCCGACGCGGCCTAACAGCAAAACCAATCGATGACAGATGGTCACACAGGTTAAAAACTATAACAGCATAGGCTGGAGAGGAACTAACATGGCTACACCAACAAGATGTCGTGCACAGCCTGGCCTACATGAGTGGGCCAATCAATTAATTTCTGAATGGCACCCTTTAGTAGTTCCGCTGCTGTTCTAGCAGAACCGGTCTGATGTTGTCCCCTGTCAGTTCATGAGTCTGGGTATCTGGCCTCAGAGGGCTGCTAGCCACAAGATCTATCCGCTCATGTTGAGACCTACGCGCACATATCCGAATCCCAAAGCGAACTCCGCATTGCTTATGTCGAGGCAGGGCGCTTGTGACGCTTACTCCACGTCAGCCTGTATAATCCATTCACCTCATATACTGATTATTTTATGTTTTTGTCTGTTAAATTTTGGGCTGTTGGCATTTGGTTAACACATGATAGCTAGTGTCCTAATCTTTGTATTCACTCCACCGAAAGGGTGTTCAGAAGAGCTGGCCCATTGCGATGCACAACAAATCACTACTCAACGTCTCACCGCAATCCGATCTACTGTGTCCTGTCTCCTCCCCTCTGCATACTATGAACACCCACTATCACCAGTAATAAACACCAATGAAGAGTCAGGGTTCTCAGAGGGCTACCGGGACATTGGGTTACACCACTAATACTATCCATATATCACATACTAATATACACATCACAGTCACAAGGTTAGACATTGTGATGTCCCTGACATTATTGGAAGAACATTGCTGTACAACCCCGGAACCTCTAATTACTCAATAAAAAAAAACAGCTGGGCCTCCATATAGGCCGATAACACAATCTCAGTTCGAGCGTGTTCCGGAGCCTCAAACAAAAAACGGTCAAGAAATGTATATTCCACTTATGCTAATAAATCCCCAACACCTAAATAATAAGGAAATATAATACACCTAAAAGAAGAACTTAAAGGCACTTGGAACGTTTCCTGTCATCAGGAGGCGGTCACGGGCTCTGAGACTTTCTTAAAGGTTCAGTGGAGCATGCTCTGTGTTCAATCATGCTCCTGTGCTCGTCCCTCTTTGTCTGACTCATGATTGGGCAATATAAACAAGGCTGAGGTTTGCAGTGTGTTGGTCAAACTCTATCACAGCTTGTCAGCGGGAAGTCTGAAATGCCGTAACCCTAAAGTCATTAAATCGGTTAGCCAGCAACTTAAAGCCGCCGAAGTTAGTGAATCCAACAAGGGTGAGAACAGAACCTTACTTGTGCCCTAACTCTATGGCAATACGATATTTGGTCTGTTCATTCTGTGTCTCGGTGTGGTGTCCATGTGCTGTTCACTTTGTTATGAAATCGGAAACCGCGGCACGCGGCCCCCCCGCGCTGGGGGCTCAGTTCTGGGTTCCAGATTGGGTGCAACATTCCTTGCTCACCAAAGCAGATCTCAGTGTACTTAGCAAGCTTTCCTCGCTTCTTTTATATCCACACAACCTTCCTTTGTTTTGACGGGTATGAAAGGCCTTCGGAGCACGGCTCTGTCTGGCAGGCCATTACGCCACAAGTGCACAGTACCTCGAAAAGTGTATGGAAGGCGCGTGTCTTTCTAGCTGTCTCTGTCAGGCAAATAACATATTAAATATCGGTATTAAAAGATGCCATTGGATGCTTACTTTCCCTTTTACTGCCAGTCCGACACGTTTCAATCTAGGCTTTGGCAGAGAATCGGGCTTACCTCCGAAGGAATGCATAATACTGGCGCGGCTAAAGTTGAGAGAGAAAGAAGAGAGGGAATGGGAATAATTAGTGGCTGTTAATGGACCATTACCTCTATAGTCGACACTGGCAGGGAGCATTTCAGGCGAGGCGGCGCTGTGTTCTCAACAAGCTGTTCTCAGTGAACCAATAGCATTAAAAGGTTGACCTGGCTCAGTCATCGGCCACCACTGGAGGGATAAGCAGTGTAAACCCTTGTGTTCTCTCTCTTTTGTGCTTTTGCTGTACCTCTTCCTCTATCTCTTTCTTACCGCCTCCTCTCTCCAACGCCTTGTGGAGTTCGATAAGCAACCAGCATTATTCCGCTACCCCCTGTTATGATTAAACGGCATGGGGGACTACCATCACCGACCACCACTGACCCTTCTCGCTGCGGCCTTGGTTTCCGGTTCAAACTTTGTAGTGCAAGACGGAGCCAATGACAGGGGTCCTCCTTCTGCCCCACACAGGATCTCCTGTTTTGTCATGGCAGGCAGGGATTCCGATCCCCACCTCCGCTGTAGGGCTCACTTGACGTGCCCGGCCCAACGGGTCTTGTGAGTCAGGGTTCTCTGTGGCAGTGTTCATCAGGGGCCCTCCTGGTTCTAATGTGGGGGCTGTGTCTCCCCATGCACTGCTTCATATTTGATCCCCACCCGCTGAGGACAGGTCACACAGTTTGTAGGACCGTTGTGACCTCCTGGTTTGACATACGGGAGAGGCATCTGCATGGATCTGTGCAGGATACCTCGCTCCGGCAGGCTCAAAGCCTCCTATTCGCATAGGCTATGACTCTCTCAAGCTCCATCCTGGACTTGAACCAAGACAGCCACCAAGCCCCTGTCCCGACGGCATCGGTCTGAAGCACAAAAGGTAGGCCGTAATCCGGATAAGATAGGTGAGTTCAGCATCCCAAAACAGCAGGTCTTGACTCTGGGAAGGTGGACGGCAGCATTCTGCAGTCGGAAGGGCCATGCCTGTTGGCATCAAACAGCCCCATGGTGTGCTTAATGCTGTCTTGTGCTTGTCTTGTTCCGGCTAACCTCCACCTGCAGTTAACCAAGTGTAAGTCAAGTGTGGAACTGGAAAAGTTACTTTGCTTTGCCCCAGAGCCTCCGGCGGGCCTCTTCTGATTCTGGCATAGAAATGCGGTCTTCTGCTGTAGGAGTTTAGCTTTCTGTAGTCGATGCACAACCTTAATGACCCGTCGTTTCTTCATTCACGATAACCACATGGGGATGATATGGACTCTTACTAGGGCCTGATTACTCCTGTGCCTTCCAATCTCTACCACATTCCGCACATTCTGGCCACTGTGAAGGCGGACATCTTGCGATCGGGAGCCGGGAAGCTTGGAATCAACGCAGGGAATGTGTCATGTGCATTGTTTTTGTGTGGCCGATAGGTCCATGGGATTGCTTGGAGAAACACCTCTCGCTCTCTCGACAAGATCTCTAGGAGGGAGCGCTGGTTTCATTCTCAACTGCCACTTCACTTAGGTCCACCCCACAACTCACCCACTACCTGGTCAGACTCAGGCAGACTTCCTGAATCATTATTGGCGACATCCACTCAGCTTTGTCGTCTGGAAATCCAGACAACGATTACCACCAGGAATGCATTGGCCAGGTGAGTGTGTGGTTAATAGTAATACAAGGGGTTCAGCGGGTTTCAAAAGTCTTAAAAAGTC